CATCGCTCAAAGCGAACCGTCCGGGCAAGACACCTGGTTCCTGGACAGTTGCTGCGGACAACATATGTGCTCCTTGGGACGCTTTGTTCAACGCGAACATCGACCCCAGCGAGAAGTAGTCATCACGGTCGCCAACAACCAGAACCTGCGCACACGACGACAAGGAGTAGTTCAACTTCAATCAAGAGAGACAAACGTCATACTGCACATGTCAAAGGTACTCATCGCATAAGGACTCGGTTATAACTTACTGAGTGTCAGCCAGCTGATGGCGAAAGGCATCCACTTGGAAGCCGACAGCACCACCCAGGAGTTTAAACTGTACCACGGGAAGGGCGGCCTCTACATCGGAAGAGCAGTTTTGAAGAACAACGTCTTCGTCCTCGATTTCGTCCCCGACCTTGGCACTGCAGATAGCGACGCCATTGTCAACTTCGCCGATTGGACACATCCCCCGGATCTCGATCCCGACTTCAGCCCGGGAGGTTTCTGGTGCTCGCACACCATCCCTGAAGCAGAACGAACACGAGCGTTAGCAACAATTCAACAAACGGCAGTAGCAGAGACAACATCGACAGCAGCAGAGACAACATCGGCAGCAGCAGAGACAACATCGACAGCAGCAGAAACATCATCGGCAGCAGCAGGACCAACGACACCAGTCATCGTCCACGAAGCACCACCAACACCCGCACAGCAACTGAACCCGACTCAACGAGAAGTCCACAGAAGCGCCAATGTCGTCGCCAGCTTCTACTCCAGCTCCGACGCGTATCAACGCTCACCCGGACATCGCGCTCCTGAAAACATCTGGCACGCACGCACAGGACATCCAAGCAACACAGTATTAAATAACACAATATGAGCAGGAGTCCTCGACAAAGATTCGCTACTACTACCCGACGGCAGAGAACTTCAACGGGCATGAGGAACTTGCCTCATCTGCCCCGAAGCTGACTTACCCCATCGACCGTTTTCTTCTCACCACAACCCGAGCGCACCTACATACGCACCACTCGAGAAAGTATACAGCGACATCCTCTTCAATCGAGAACCAGGACAAGTCACCTACAATTACACAATAACCTTCATCGACGCCGCCACTCGATACGTTTGGCATCGAAACCTACCCAGCCGCGACATGGCACTCGCAGCGTTTGCCGCTTGGCTACCGGTAGCAGAGAGGGAGTCAGGAACACAGCTGAAAAGCTTCCAGTCAGATGGAGGAGGAGAATACACCTCTCAGCGCTTCAAGCAGTACCTGGCGGAAAGGGGAATCAAGCAACTCCTCTCCCTTCCCTACGCCCATCAGCAGCAAGGTGTTGCAGAAAGAATGAACAGGACTCTGCAGAACAGCATGCGCAAACTGCTACGTGGCATGCGGCTACCCAACCACCAGTGGCCTGCAGCAATGGACCATGCTGTCATGCTGCACAACTTGCTGTCGTCGTCGTCACTCCCGAACAACGCATCACCGCATCTGCTGTGGACAGGAAAGCAGGGGAGCACAAGAATGTTACGAGTTTTCGGATGCATGGTGCAGTACCGACCCCCAGAAGCACGAGCGGGAAGATTTTCACAACGGGCACAGTGGGGACTACACCTCGGCATCGAGAAAAATTACAACGCGTGGAAAATTTTCAATGTCCACTCAAAGGAAACAGTAGCAGCACGTGATGTGATCTTCTACGAGCGACTCACCCTTCAAACGTACCTCGCCAACTTGCACGAGAATCAAGACCCCACAGGTGGTTTTCGTGGTGACCGAGCCTTCGCCTCAGCAGCGGACGAAGCAGACTGGGATGAACAGAACGTCGACAACGCATCGGAAGAAACCGGACCTCTCCCGTACTGCTCCATCGACGTGCCCATGGACGAAGACAATCCTCGCGACAGTGCCAACGCCGAAGTCTTCTATCAGTTCGCCGAAACCGGTTACGTAACACCTGGGACAGTCAACACAAACGAAGCAGAACGGATAGGGCCAAATTTCATACCCGATCCAGAAGCGGGAGACGAAGCAGCTTCCCGAGGATCCAACACTCCCCCGATACTCACAGACTGGACTGCAAATCCTCGGCCTCGTCACCGCAGTCCACGGCAACGCACTTCCTAAGGAGCCTGCGACGGTTCAGCAGGCTCTGGGGGGGGAACACAGGGAGAAATGGCGCGAAGCCATGGACAGAGAGTTAAAGGCACAGGAGGAACGCAACACTTGGAAGGTCGTTCCCGCAACGTGGCAAAGAACAAGACCATTCTCACCAGGAAATGGGTCTTCCGCATCAAAACGAAAGCAGACGGCACAATCGAGAAGTTCAAAGCACGCTGGGTCGTGCGTGGATTCGACCAAGAGCAAGGACGAGACTTCACCGAGACATTCGCCCCAGTTAGTCGACATACCTCTCTTCGAATTCTTCTCGCCGTTGCCGCCATGAAGAAGTAGAAACCGCGACAAATCGATGTCGCCAACGCATTTCTCTACGCACCCGTCGACGCCGAAATCTTCGTCGGACTCCCACACGGTACCCACGGAAACCCCAATCAGGTTTGCCAGCTACTAAAATCGCTCTACGGAATCAAACAAGCCCCGCGGCTGTGGCAACAGCACCTACACACCCGACTCACTCGCATCGGATTCCGTCAACTGCCGCACGACCAAGGAATGTATCGATTCACTAAAGACGCCGATTAAATCCTACTGATCGTCTACGTCGACGACCTACTCTACATCGGCTCCACCGACGACATCACCACCTGGTTCGAAGGGGAGCTGCAGAAGGACCTCACGCTCACGGTTTCTTCTACCGTCACCCAGTACCTCGGGCTCAACATCCGCGAAGAAGAAAATGCTATCTACTTAAGCGCCGAGAAATACGCCGACACTATCGCCAAGCGCTTCTCGCTCACACCTACCGCTATCGCCACGCCATACCGCTACACGGCAGGAAGTAACAAAGGAAATTCCGCTCCACTCAAAGCTGCCGGAATACGAGACTACCAGAGGAAACTGGGCTGCCTCCTCTTCGCAGCCGTCACCTGCCGCCCGGATCTATCCTACTCCGCAAGCCAACTCGCTACCTACCTCAAGAAACCCGAAGCAGAGCACCTGGCGGAGCTCGATCGCGCACTACACTACTTCGTGAGCACTCCGACGATTGGCCTGACTTACTACAAAAACGAAACTACGACCACGAAACTAATCGGCTACGTCGATGCCGATCATGCTGGCGATTCCGACAATAGGCGTTCTCGCACTGGCTACGTCTATCGTCTCGAGCCTATCGGACCTATCTCCTGGCAGTCGAGCAAGCAGGAACTAATCGCTCTCTCTTCAGCTGAAGCAGAATATATCGCCCTCTACTCAGCCACCAAGGAAGGACTCTACCTTCGCGAGCTGCTGGAAGAAGCAAGGTTAGCCGAGTTACCCAACTTCACCCTATTCTGCGACAACCAATCTGCAATTCGCATCGCCAACAAAAGCGGATTCGCGAACAGAACGAAGCATATCGCTCTGCGATACTTCTTCGTGAAAGACGAGATCGAGAAAGGGAAACTCGAATTATCCTACTGTCCCACGTCCGAGATGGCAGCCGATTACTTGACCAAGAAACTCGGAAAACAGAAGTTCGAGTACTGCATGCTGCTGACTGGACAAGGCCACGTCACCATTAGCGACACTCCAGAAGCGAAGGGGAGTGTTGGGAACAATAAGTCTTAAAGCGCCTCTGTCGTGTCGAAACTCAGGACACAAGCGAAGCAGTCCAAATCGAAGCATCGCGAGTCAACCCTCGGAGGTTAGGGTAACCGCCTGGAGGTTACGCGAAGGTCAAAAGTCAGCGACCTTTGACTTGACAAAATACAGCGCGACAGCAAGGACTCACAACTGACTCGACATTGAGCAGTTGCCCGAGTCGCACTGTATCGAATCGCAACAGCAAAACAGTTTAATCTATTCGTATTCCTTGTACTCTTATATAAAGCCTTGTATTTGCTTGTTTAAAAAAAAAACTCACTTTGCCCTCACATACTAGCGCAAGGTGGTTCAAGGACTTTTCATTCAAACGCTTCCGCTATTACAATCCTACTCAGACTTTAACTCTACAAAGATCCTAGGGCATCTCAGCCCAACAGCTATTACGCGAAACGCAAAGCTCTGTCAGCGGCATAGGCAGGACCTTCAACCCCGTTGCAACACTTGCTTTGCCCTCATCCCAAGATTGACATGCGCGAAGCGTGTCCTTTTTCCACGTCGAAATTAGTGCCGTGAAAGGTAATTTAGCTATCCCCTCACATCGTCCACCCCCTTGACGCACCGTCGCCCTCGCATCCCCCGTTTCCCCGTCGCCCTTGCCCTCCCAACGCCCTTACCCCGGTCCCCTCTCGTCGATTTCTTGTCAACGTCGTGGGGCCACATTCCGACGCTTCGTACACCACTCCGCGCTCCTCTCGCCTCACGGCGCGCGCTCCTCTCGCCTTCCCGCGCGCGCTTCTCTCGCCTCCCCGCGCGCGCTCCCCTCGCCTCCCCGCGCGCGCTCCTCTCGCCTCCCCGCGCGCGCGGCTCTCGCCTCCCCGCGCGCGCTCCTCTCGCCTCCCCGCGCGCGCTCCTTACGCCTCCCCGCGCGCGCTTTTCTTGCCTCCCCGCGCGCGCTCCTCTCGCCTCCCCGCGCGCGCTCCTTTCGCCTCCAGCGCCGCATCTTCCCGCCTCCCCGCGCGGCCTCCTCTCACCATCGCCAGCGTGCTCCGCTCGCCATGGCCTCGCGTGCTCCTCTCGCCTTGATAGCGCGCGATTCTGTCGCCTCCCCGCGTGGCCTTCTCTCACCATCCCGCGCGTGCTTCTCTCGCCTCCCCTCGCATGAGAGGCGAGCCTGTATAGCGCGCGCTTCACTTGCCTCCCCGCGCGGCCTCCTCTCACCTCCCCGCGCATCCTCCTCTCGCCGCCTCACGCGTGCTTCTCTCGCCTCCCCGCGCGAACTCCTCTCGCCTCCCCTCGTGTGCACCTCTCACCCCCCCTCTACCGCCCCTCTTGCCTCCCCGTGCAGCCTCCTCTCACCTCCCTGCACGTGCTCCACTCGCCTCCCCTCGCGTGGTCCTCTCACCTCACCTTGTGTGCTCCTCTCGCCCCCCCACGCGTGCTCCTCTCTCCTCATCTTGCGTGCTCCTCTCGCCTCCCCACGCGTGCCCCTCTAAGATGCGTGAGGGGCTTCACCTCCCGTCTCCTCACTGCCTCTCTGCGTCTCGCGACAGCCTCTGTTCGCGTCGCTGATCACAAATATTGCCCTTGGCCCCTGCTCACACTCTTGCAACGGCTGTGCTTCCGCATCCCCTCTGCACGCCCTCTTTCCCCCTCTTCCACGCCCTCATTTCCCACCCTGCTTGCCCACGTTTCCCCACCTTGCAGTCCCTCACAAGCCCTCGGTGCAGGCCCTCTCGCCTCCCGTGCTCCACTCTAGAATGTGGGACGCTCCTCTCTCCTCACCTCCCGTGCTCCCCTCTGACAGGTGGGGTGCTCCTCTCTCCTCACCTCCCGTGGTCCTCTCTGACAGGGCATGGTGCTCCTCTCCTCTCGCCTCCCGTGCTCCACTCTGAAATGTGGGACGCTCCTCTCTCCTCACCTCCCGTGCTCCCCTCTGACAGGTGGGGTGCTCCTCTCTCCTCACCTCGCGTGGTCCACTCTGACAGGGCATGGTGCTCCTCTCCTCTCGCCTCCCGTGCTCCACTCTGGAATGTGGGACGCTCCTCTCTCCTCACCTCCCGTGCTCCCCTCTGACAGGGGGGTGCTACTCTCTCCTCACCTCCCGTGCTCCCCTCTGACAGGTGGGGTGCTCCTCTCTCCTCACCTCCCGTGGTCCACTCTGACAGGGCATGGTGCTCCTCTCCTCTCGCCTGCAGTGCTCCACTCTGGAACGTGGGACGCTCCTCTCTCCTCACCTCCCGTGCTCCACTCTGGAATGTGGGAAGCTCCTCTCTCCTCACCTCCCGTGCTCCCCTCTGACAGGTGGGGTGCTCCTCTCTCCTCACCTCCCGTGCTCCCCTCTGACAGGTGGGGTGCTCCTCTCTCCTCACCTCCCGTGGTCCACTCTGACAGGGCATGGTGCTCCTCTCCTCTCGCCTCCCGTGCTCCACTCTGGAATGTGGGACGCTCCTCTCTCCTCACCTCCCGTGCTCCCCTCTGACAGGGGGGTGCTCCTCTCTCCTCACCTCCCGTGCTCCCCTCTGACAGGTGGGGTGCTCCTCTCTCCTCACCTTCCGTGGTCCACTCTGACAGGGCATGGTGCTCCTCTCCTCTCGCCTCCCGTGCTTCACTCTGGAATGTGGGACGCTCCTCTCTCCTCACCTCCCGTGCTCCCCTCTGACAGGGGGGTGCTCCTCTCTCCTCACCTCCCGTGCTCCCCTCTGACAGGTGGGGTGCTCCTCTCTCCTCACCTCCCGTGGTCCACTCTGACAGGGCATGGTGCTCCTCTCCTCTCGCCTCCCGTGCTCCACTCTGGAATGTGGGACGCTCCTCTCTCCTCACCTCCCGTGCTCCCCTCTGACAGGGGGGTGCTCCTCTCTCCTCACCTCCCGTGCTCCACTCTGGAATGTGGGACGCTCCTCTCTCCTCACCTCCCGTGCTCCCCTCTGACAGGTGGGGTGCTCCTCTCTCCTCACCTCCCGTGCTCCCCTCTGACAGGTGGGGTGGTCCTCTCTCCTCGCCTCCCGTGCCCCACTCTGACAGGGCAGGGTGCTTCCGGACCTGTTGTTTAGTGCCTGACCTGCCCACCCTCCCCTACACAGCCAACTCAATTCAATGACCTGCGTAATCGGATAGTTCCCCCCCCCCCCCCTCCCCCCTCCCAACCCATTCACTCCCTAACCCCTCCCTCTCCCTTGTTGTTTTCTGCCTGATGTTCCCTTTTCTCACCCTCTAAACCAGTCCACCTCATCAGCCATGTCTTTGTGGAGACGTACTCCTCGGAGACGGCTGACGCTTGGATTCAGGGTTGGGGAGGAGGGTTCCGAGGATGATGAGGAGGAGAGGGGTCGGCGACGTGGACCGGAGTCGATGTTCACGGCAAGTACGGGCAAGTACGGATGAGGGGAAGGGAGGATGAGATGAAGGGCGGATGAGGGGGAGGACGGATGAGGGGGAGGGAGGACGAGAAGAAGGGTGGACGAGGGAAAGGAGGAAGAGAGGGAGAGACGATGAGATGGAGAGAGGATGAGAGCGCGAAGGGCGGATGAGAGGAAGGGCGGATGAGAGGAAGGGCGAATGAGAGGGAAGGAGGATGAGAGGAAGGGGGGATGAGAGGAATGGAAGGGGAGAGGAAGGGAGGATGAGAGAAAGGGAGTATGAGAAGGAGAGAGGATGGGAGAGAAGGGCGGATGAGAAGAAGGGCGGATGAGAGGAAGGGCGGATGTGGGGATGGGAGGATGACAGGAAAGGGAGATGAGTGGAAAGGAGGATGAGAGGAGGGGGGGATGAGAGGAAGGGAGGACGAGAGAAAGGGAGTATGAGAAGCAGAGAGGATGGGAGAGAAGGAGGAAGGGTGGATGAGAGGAAGGGCGGATGCGAGGAAGGAAGCAGGGCAGGAGGATGCGAGGAAGGGTGGACGCGAGGAATGGTGGATGATAGGGATGGCGGATGAGGGGGGGAGGGGGCTGAAGTAGGGGAGGGAATACGAGTTGAGGGGAGGACGAGATGAAGGGCGAATGAGAGGGAGAGACGATGAGAAGGAGAGAGGATGAGAGCGTGAAGGGCGGATGAGAGGAAGGGCGGATGAGAGGAAGGGCGGATGAGAGGAAGGGCGGATGAGAGGAGAGGAGGATGAGAGGGAGGTTGTATGAGAGGAAAGGAGGATGAGAGGAAGGGGGGATGCGAGGAAGGTTGGATGAGAGAAGGGAGGATGAGATGAAGGGCGGATGAGGGGGAGGCTGGATGAGGGGGAGGGAGGACGAGAAGAAGGGTGGATGAGAGGGAGGGCGGACGAGGGGGAAGGCGGATGAGGTGGAGGGCGGATGAGGGCGCGTGGCGAAAGAAGGGTAGGGAGGACGAGTGGAAATGAGGACGATAGGAGGGGCGGATAAGAGGGAGAGAGGATGTGAGAGAAGGGCGGACAAGAGGAAGGGCGGATGAGAGGAAGGGAGGATGGAGGGAATTGTGAGCGACAGGTAGCGAAATGTGGGCGATGGGGAGGGAAACGAGGGCGACGAGAGGGGAAATGAGGGCTACGGGAAGGGAAATGTGGGCGATGAGAGGGGAAATGAGGGTGCAGGGAAGGGAAATGTGGGCGACGGGGAAGGAAATGAGTGCGACGGGAAGGGAATTTAGTGCGACGGGCAGGGAAACGAGGGCGACGGGGTGGAAATGTGTGAGAGGGGACGGGAAATTAGTGCGACGGGAAGGGTAATGTGGGCGACGGGAAGGGAAACGAGGGCGACGGGAAGGGAAGTGAGTGCGACGGGAAGGGAAATGGGGCGACGGGAAGGGATTTGTGGCCGACGGGTTCGGTAATGTGGGTTCTCGGGAAGGGAATGGAGGGCGACCGAACTCGGGAAGCGTGGGCGTCTCGAAATATTGGATACGAGGGCGACGGGCCGCGAAATGCATGCGACGGGAAGCTGAAATGTGGGCGACGGGAAGCTGAAAATGAGGGCGACGGGGGGCTGAGATGAGCCCGACGGGAGGCTTCTCACCATGCGCTATGTGTAAGGCAGGCGCTCGCAAACGGGGGACCGTGAGGGGCAGGGCGGAAGGCTTGATGCTGGGGGCGCCTCGAGCGCGTGGGAATCTAAGCTGCACCGAGTGGTGGCGTAACAAGGCTATGTGGGGCGCCCCGTCTCATACGTCCGCCCTGTTCCCTATTTGTTGAGGGCGTTGTCCTCAACACCCTAAAAATCGCGCCTTTCCGGGTCCATCAACACGGACATTCGCTCCTAATGGCTCCTTCTCGTTTTTCTAGAAGCTAAGGCCGCGCCTGGCTGAAGGGGACTTAGGACTAGTTATGTTTGTTCGAGTGCCTGTCATTCCCTATTCAAACTGTGCACACTTTCCCTTCGCGTGCTTCTCAGGTTTGTCGAACTTGGGAAGATGGGCCTTGTGTGCCATGTTTGTTCCAACCAATCAGCAAGTGCACAGTTTGTGGCGAACTGTTTTCAGTCGCAAGGTGGTTTTGCTTTTTCGCGTGTCACTCAACCCATTCGAACCTCCAACTGGCAGCCCGCCGAACCTAGAAATACTCAGTTGACTTCCGTTGAGTAATTCAGGTCTTGGGCTTTAATTTGATCAAGCCGGAGAACTGATCAAGCCTCTCCGCCATGGCTCCTACCAAGAACTTATCGCCATCAATGTCAACCTTAACTACATCAGTTTTAAGATCTGACTACAGATTCGGAACCTACACTGCAGGAGCTTGCTGTCAGCGCCAACATTGTGTTCACAGAGAGAACATTCGGCCATCGTCGCTTCTCCTGAAAAAATCCTTATCTGAGTTCTTAAACTGCATACAAGTTTCAGGACATCCAAGATGGCATCATAAGATCAATACAGGTGCAAGCCAAGGCTGGAAATACAAGTACACAAGGAATATCCAGCATAACGTCTTCAGAATGTCGGCCTTTGCTGCCATTCGACAACAACATTTTAAAGCTGAAGCTACACGGAATCAAGCGACGACTTCTCTTATTCTTAAGATTCAAGCTTATTTCCAAAACGTCCCCGGATCTGAAGCTCTCTACTCGTCATGGCGGTTTACTACGAAGAGTTCTTTCTCTCCCGGATCAGAGTTGTGTTTGAAGAATACAACAGCGTTTGCATTTTCAGACTGCGAAGATCTACCTATTTTCAGCGCGGCTACAACAACTGAAAGAACTGCGTCTTATAAGTTGGATCACAATGGCTGGAAGGAAGGGGAGGTTGTTGTTGCAGGCATGATTAAAGGTGGTTTGATCAACATGGCAGATCCTACAACTGAAAACCCTCAAGAAGTATTTTTAACTGTTGATGATACTGATTTATGGCGTGACGCCATAGAACCTGATTGTGCTATGGAGCCATCAAGGAAGTTTCAAGGCAATGACAGAGCCGTACCTAGTGCATTTTTTCCTAAGTCATTTGGAGCAGCATTTGTCAGGAAATTCAAGCAAAGGTTGTGGGTACATCAGAAGGCATGTGCGGCTGTCACCGCTCTCCACCGTTCAAAAAGTTGTGGTATGGTGGTCAGAGCGGGTGCAGCAGCTGCTGCAATTTTCATTCGAAGTCGGCGTCAGAAGAAGTTGGGTACAACCAGATCGATCTACCAGCAGCAGTTACGAGTTCAACCAAGCATCATTGCAGCGGATACCACTCTACACCGCATTCAAAACAAGGCAAGATTGGCTCCAACCAAGCCTCATCACACTCGGCAGGTCAAGTCCCAACCAAAGTTGAAGCAACGAAGAAGGCAAGAAAGCGTCAACAATTTTCTATCTGATCTCAAGGGTGGCAACTCTGCAAAGGTAGCCCCAAACGGGCAAGACAAAGTGTTTAGGCACTTGACTTTTAAACCTCCATAGGAATCTGGGAGGGTACGGTAGACACTTACGCTACCTATGCCCTCTAGCTACGGTTACGACCGACGGTGTTTTTTTGCGTTGTACGTTGTACCGTATACTCCCGGACAAAACACCCCCCCATAATTGTACACCCCCGGGTAGCTTGTGCGGGGTGGGTGTTATGGGGAGCCTCGTTTCTACTATACCCCCCTTTTTGCCTGATTCTTTATAAGACCCGGGGGGGTGTTATGGGCGGGAAAAATACCGAATTTGCTTACATTGCATACAGGGTACTTTACAGGTACTACAGAAGTAATGTGCCAGCACATAGTCATCGACAATGTCACCTAGACTGCAGAAACATCACCACAAGAGCACCTCACATCCACAATTTCACCTAAAAAAACTCTATACAAAGTGCCTTCTACTCAGAATCGTCTCCTGCATGCCATTCTTCATAGTCTTCCCCGTCAAAGCGGCCAGGGCGCCACCATTCGTCATCGCTGGGCTCTTCTGCCTCCCCGCCTTCCTCAAGCACGCCCCCCTCCTCCTCTGCCGCCGCCGCTTCCGCATCCTCCTCAGCGGCGTCAGCCTCCTCTGCCGCCGCCTGCAGCTCCTCGACCGGCATGGGGACTTCGACGTAGAAGGGGTTGACGACGAGCTCGTCATCAACCAGGTCGTTGACGTCGTCAAGGACTTCCACCTCACCCTTGTCCCGCATGTGGGCAAGGATGAGGTGGTCCTCGCTGCCATCGATGGGGGTGGAGATCCCACACGTGACGAACGCCTTCTTCACGAGCTCCTGTGGGATTCCTTCCCAGGACTCATCGATCCAGCGGAGCACCAACTCCGCTGGCGGCTTCTTGAGATTGCCTGAGGGACGGGGAAGGGTAGAGAAGGACAAATGTGAATTTCCAGAGCGTAAGCCGACATTGATTCAAAGTTACACATGCGGATGTCATGGTTCAACTCACCGGACTTGGTGGTGGTGTTGATGCCCTCTTCTTCGAACCAGCCACTGTAGCGATGACGCACACCGCACTTGAACGCGCGGTTGATTGACACATCCAGAGGCTGCACTAGCGGAGTGCAGCCCCCTGGGATGACAGCCCGTGACAGCCGAAACATCCTCATGGTCTGCCCGACCGCCTCAGTCAAGTGGCCGCGGTAGGAGTCAAGCACAACCAAGGCCTCCCTGCGGCGTCCAATTGATTCACGCAAGGGCTTCAGAAACGGCACCATCACCTGGGTGATCCAGTCCTGCACAAGTGATTCGTCCATCCACCCTTTGTCTTGTGCACGGACCACCGCACCTGCCAAAGAATACCGGTACGTTAGGGTCAAATTCGGTTGCGAATGTTTACATGCTACAGTAGTGACATCATCCTAAACATGCTACGCTTACCGGCAGGGATGGGCACCTTCGGTATGGACTTGCGCTTGAACACCACGTACGGCGGCAGCTTGAGCCCGCTCGCAGTTACTGCCAGCATGACAGTAACACGCTCCTTCTCATAGCCCGTGTCAAATTATAATATTGTGTAGGCTATAGTGGGGTAGCCTATATGGGGTACACATTTCTAGGGTTGCATATTTGTATCACTTCCATTCCTTAGTCATTCATTCTCATTCTCATTTTCTCATGGTATCGAGCAGGTTCCCCTGTGGGAACTGTGCCTAGGGCCCACCAAAGTTCGAATTTTTTTTCCTGCCTGAAGCGCGCTCCGCCCGAGTCGCGCTCTCACCTCGTCGAGCCGCCCTAGCGGCCCCTATGCCCTAGCGGCCCTCCCTACCTTAGCGGCCCCGTCGCCCGTTCGTGCGGCCCCGCCACCTACTAGCGTGGCCCCGCCACCCGCATTCGCGGCCCCGCCGCCCTACGTCGCGACCCCGCCGCCCTAACTGCGGCCTCGCCGCCCTACTCCTGCGGCCCCGCCGCCCTACTTCGCGGCCCCGCCGCTCTACGTCGCGGCCCCGCCGCCCTATTCAGCGGCCCCGCCGCCCCACTTCGCGGCCCCGCAGCCCCACTTCGCGGCCCCGCCGCCCTGCTTCAGCGGCCCCGCCGCCCGTGTGCTGCGGCCCCGCCGCCCCACTTCGCGGCCCCGCCGCCCTTCTTCAGCGGCCCCGCCGCCCGTCTGCTGCGGCCCCGCTGCCCCACTTCGCGGCCCCGCCGCCCTACTTCAACGGGCCCCGCCGCCCTACTTCAGCGGCCCCGCCGCCCTACGTCTGCGGCCCCGCCGCCCGTCTGCTGCGGCCCCGCCGCCCTACACCTGCGGCCCCGCCGCCCTACTTCAAGGGCCTCGCCGCCCTACTTCACCGGCCCCGCCACCCTACGTCAACAGGTCCCGCCGCCCGTCTGCTGCGGCCCCGCCGCTCTCCCCTCCTGCAGCAACGCGCCCGAGCCGCAGACCGCCGCGCCGCCCTGTACCACAGGAGCCGAGCCGCCCTGCCGCCGAGCCGCCCGCCCCCCCCACCAGCCGAGCCGCCGTGCAGCCGAGCCGCCCAGCCGCCGAGCCGCCGAGCCGCCCAACAGCCGAGCCGCCCCGCAGCCGAGCCGCTGAGCCGCCCAGCAGCCGAGCCGCCCAGCCGCCGAGCCGCCCTACAGTTGAGCCGCCCGAGCAGCCCTGTCCGGTGAGTACAGCCTCTCTGTCACTGCGTGCCCTTCCCCTACTGCTTGCACTGCTACTCTACCGTCGTCATGGCTACCCCTAGTGTCCTCGCTTTTGACGCTGAGGGTCGAGCCATTGACTTTGAGGTCTGGGTCGACGACCTGCAGCTGTTCTTACAATGCGATAGGGCGGACGGTCTTTCTCTCTTTGACCTCACCTCTGGCGCCTCTCCTGCACCTGCTGCTGATGCTGACCCCACTGTTCGCTCTCAGTGGGCCACCCGCGATGCTGCTGCACGTCTTGCTGTGCGTCGCCACCTGCCTACCATTGAGCGCGCGCACTTTAGTCAGTACAAGAGTGCTCAGACCTTGTACGACGCTGTAAATGCGCGCTACTCTTCCCCTGCCACTGCTGCACTGAGCCGCCTCATGCTACCGTACCTCTTCCCTGACCTTGCTGCATTTCCCACAGTTGCTGACCTCATTACGCACCTCCGCACTAGTGACACTCGCTACCGCGCCGCGCTGCCTGCTGAGTTCTGCGCCAAGAACCCCCCCCCCATGTACATCACTCTCTATTACATAGTCACCCGCCTCCCTGACTCCCTTCGCGTAGTCAAGGACCACTTTCTCTCAGCCTGTCTCACCACTCTCACTGTTGACCTCCTAGAGAAGGCCCTCCTAGCAGCGGAGAAGAGCATAGTCGCTGTAGGAGCCTCTCGTGGTGACCCTCGCACCCCCATCTTTGAGGGGTGTTCCCCTTCCCCCCTGCTGCCCTCTGTCGCCTCTGCTGCTGCGGCCGACCTACTTGGTCTTGAGTCGGTCGGTGCGGCGTCTGCTCCTAGCGGGAGACGCAGCTCTGGCAAGGGCAAGGGGGGCAAAGGCGCGGGTGGAGCTAGCGGGGGTGGTGGAGGTGGCGGTGGAGGCGGCGGAGGGAGTGGGGGTGGCGGTGGGAGTGGTGCCGGGGGTGGAGGTGGCGGTGGCAACGGCGGAGGCGGAGGCGTCGGTGGCGGTAGCGGTGGGAGCGGAGGCGGCGGTGGCGGCGGAGGTGGAGGCGGCGGTGGTGGAGGAGGTGGAGCTGGTCGAGGTGGTACTTCTCAGCGGAGCGGCTCCGGGAGTGGTCAGCGCCAACAGCAGCAGCAGCAGCAGCAGCGTTCTCGGGACATCCCCCCTCCTCAGCAACTCCGTGAGTGGTACACGCAGCGTCAGCGTGGTGAGGGTTTTGGCCCGTGCACCTACGTCCTCCGCTCCGGCGACCGCACGGGTGAGCAGTGTGGGGGTGCTCACCCCACCTAGCGCTGCTTTGGCCGCCTGACGGACGCTTGGCGTCAGCAGTTCCCGGAGGCTAGTGAGATCCCCCGCTGGGGAGAGCTGTCTAGGGCAGGCGTAGCTATCTTTGATCTTGACTTTGATGCTATCCTTGCTGCCATGTATGCTGTGACTATTAGTGATGAGGGTGACTGTTACTGGTGTTTCCCGCCCGACCCGGGCATTGGTACTGCTGCTCTAGGTACTGGTGAGGCTGCTGCTCTAGGTGCCAGTGCGTCCACGCCCTCAGGTGCTGGTGAGTCTGCGCTCTCAGGTACCACGTCGGCTTCGGCCTCCCTCACCTTCACACTTGACTCAGGGGCTTCTCGCTCCTTCTTTCTAGACCGCACCACACTCACGCCGCTTGGTCGGCCAGTTGCAGTCTCCCTGGCAGACCCCTCTGGGGGTCCTGCCCTCTCTCACTTCTCCACTGTCCTCCCGTGTCCGGCTGCCCCCTCTGGCACCTTGTCTGGTCTTTACCTCCCCTCGTTCTCTACAAACTTGGTGAATGGTGCTGACCTGCAGGATACGGGAGTTCACTAGTTCACTCCTGCGAGTCAGCGGGTGACCCACTGCACGGACGCTCGGACAGGCCGACACCTGGCCACGTTTACACGTCGGCCGGGGTCGAGCCTGTACACACTGACCACTGAGTCTCCTCCAGTCACTGCGTCTGGTCAGGTAGCTGCGTCGGGTCAGGTGTTTGCTGCAGCGTCCAGGTCTGGTCCTGAGTCTGCCCCCTGCTCGTGTCGCCTCCTGTCTCATGAGACTCTCCTCTGGCACCACCGTCTTGGTCATCCCTCCCTGCCTCGTCTCCGAGGCATGGCTTCCCGTGTCCTTGTCTCTGGTCTTCCCCGGTCCCTCCCTCCCCTTCCTCCGGGGCCTGGTCCTTCCTGTGTCCCCTGTGTCGAGGGGCGGCTCCGAGCTGCCCCTCACTCCTCTCAGTTTCCCCCGACAGAGGCCCCGCTGCAGACGCTTCACATGGACGTGTGGGGCCCGGCCCGCGTCCGTGGACAGGGTCACGAGCGCTACTTCCTGCTGGTGGTTGACGACTACTCGCGTTACACCACAGTCTTCCCCTTGTGCAGCAAGGGTGATGTCGCTGAGGTGTTGATCGACTGGATCCGCGCAGCTCGTCTCCAGCTCAGGAGGAGCTTCGGCTCGGACTTTCCTGTTCTGCGTATGCACTCTGACCGAGGCGGAGAGTTCTCCTCTGGCCTTCTGAGAGCCTACTGTCGTGCGCGAGGCATCCGCCAGACCTTCACGCTTCCGGACTCTCCGCAGCAAAATGGGATTGCTGAGCGCCGCATTGGCATGGTCATGGACGTCGCTCGTACGTCCATGATGCATGCGGCTGCCCCCCATTTTCTGTGGCCGTTTGTGGTTCGGTACGCGGCGCATCAGATCAACCTTCACCCCCGGGTCTCCAGACTGGAGACCTCCCCAGCCTTGCTGTGGACGGGGAAGGTCGGCGATGCGTCTGCGTTCCGTGTCTGGGGATCTCGGGCGTTTGTCCGCGACTTGTCTGCGGACAAGCTGTCCCCTTGTGCTGCTCCCTGTGTCTTCCTTGGCTTCCCCCCTGACGCCCCTGGGTGGCAGTTCTACCACCCCACCTCTCGTCGTGTTCTGTCCTCCCAGGACGTCACGTTCGACGAGTTAGTACCCTACTACCGCCTCTTCCCCTACCGCACTCCTTCCCTCTGTCAGAACATTAT